GGGAGGGGGGAGGGGGGGTTTGACAAGGGAGTAAAAGGGTCCATTGCCGGCGTGGGGTCTTTGGGAATCTGCAGCTTGTCCTGCCTCGCCTTGTCCTGTGGAACGAACAGCGAAGGGTCCATTGCCGGTGCGGGGTCTTTGGAGGTCACTGCCGATGCGGGTGTAGTGGAGGTGCTTGCACCTTTTCCTTTGCCTGCTGCCGTTTTGCCTCTCGTCCTTCCAGACTCGTTCCTGCCACCACCTGCCATTGGAGGAAGAAGAAGATGAAAGGAGGAAGAAGAGGAAGATCAAGAAAGAAGGCAGAAGAAGATGATGAACGGAGGAGGAGTAGGAGAGAAGGACACGACGAAAGGAGGACGAGGAGGAGAGAAGAAGAAGACGAGAGGAAAGAAGAAGAAGACGAGAGGAGGAGGAGAAGAAGATGAGGCAGTTCTCAGTGCACTATTCCGACACTTGTGAAAGAAAACTGATGAAATTGGGACGAGGAGTAGGAGCAGGAGGAGGAGGAGAAAGGAGAAAGAGGAGGAGGTGGAGGAGGAGGAGAGAAGAAGACGAGAGGAGGAGAGAAGAAGACGAAAGGAGGAGGAGGAGGTAGTGTGTGGGGATGACCGGAAAAAAAGAAAAAAAAAAGGACGATGGAGGACGAGGAGGAGGAGAGAAGGAGAACACGAAAGTTGAGGAGAGAAGAAGAAGACGAGAGGAGGAGGAGGAGGAGGAGAAAGGAGAGAAGAAAAAGAAAAGAGGAGGAGGAGGAGAGAACAAAAAGAAGACGAGAGGAGGAGGTGGAGAGAAGAAAAAGATGACGAGAGGAGGAGGAGGAGAAGGAGAGAAGAAAAAGAAGACGAGAGGAGGAGGACCTGCCGGTTTTGTATTGCGATGAGGAAAAAAAAAAAAAAAAAGAAAGACGAGGAGGGAGGAGGAGGAGGAGAGAAAAAGAAGAAAGGAAAAGAGAGAGAGAGAGAGAGAGAGAGAGAGAGAGGAATCCCGACACCTGGCAGTTTTCAGCGCACTGCTGTTGCCACATGGCACTTGGCCTACTAAAGAAAGCCAATGAAATAGGGAGGAGGAGAGAAGAAGTATGGTGATGACGAAAAAAAAAAAAAAAAAAAAGGACGAGGAAGGAGGAGGAGGGGGGAGAGAGAGAGAGAGAGAGAGAGAGAGAGGAATCCCAACACGCGGCAGTTCTCAGCACACTGCTGTTGCCACGTGGCACTTCGCCTACTAAAGAAAACCAATGAAATAGGGAGGAGGAGGAGAAAGGAGGGGGAGAGAAGAAGACGAAGGGAGGAGGAGGAGGAGGAGAGAAGAAGAGAGGAGGAGGAGGAGGAGGACGACGAGGAGGAGAGAAGAAGACGAAAGGAGGAGGAGGACGAGGAGGAGGAGAAGAAAAGGAGGAAAGGAGGAGGAGAGGAGAAGAAGATGAAAGGAAGAGGAGGCGGAGGAGAGGAAGGAGAAGAAGAGGAAGGAAGGAGGTGGACGCGGACTCACCACGATGGCGACAACAGCTTGACGGGCAGCGAAGATGGGGAGGACTGCTCGACGGGGCAGTTCGACGGCAGCTCGACGAAGACGGGCGGGTTTCGAGACGGCGAGCAGCGGCGACGACGGGCGGGCTTCAAGACGGCAGCAACAGCAAGCGGGCTTCGTGATGGCAGCGAAGTGGGGAATACCGTGTTCGAATTCGAACGCGGCATCCTAGGCGACCAGGGGGGGGGAACGAGGTCATTTGTTGGCGGCTGATCGCAACGTAGTCCGAAAACACGAGGAACTTACGAAGAAGGGCTTCCCGCCGCCTGACCTTCCTCCGAAAATGGAAATGTGAAGTTTCAAAGTGCTCCTGGGGTCCCCCACGCGAAATTGCGCTGGCCCCGCCCAACGCCAAACCAAGGGACCCAACCGGTCGGGCCGCCCGGGACCCCTGCCAGACGGAGGCTGGGCTGCCGGGCGGGCCGGATTTTAACACAGACAATAGCGTGTTTCGGTATGTGCAGACCTCCACAACCTCCTCAGCAACTCAGGGTGAACTTCTGCCCCTGAGTACATGTCAGGGCTTTTGTACTTACCTGAGGAGCATCTACAGGGGCATTTGACGTAAATGTGACAAGAGCGGCGAGATAGGAAGTGGGTAGTACAGAGGTGGGAGGACAGCTATTTTATAATTCATTAGCAGTAAGGGCATACCTAGAGCACATGTGGAAGTAGAAGACCATGGAAAGAAACGCACCAGAGTGCCAAGGGCCGGGTGGGAGGAGTCATCTATACTACCATGGTTAGCTAGCTCTTGAATATCATTGTGTGGAAGTAGCTCGTGATGCAAGTCTTGTCATCTCCTAAAGGTCCCAGACTTGGACAATATCTTAGCACCACTCCATAGAGTGGCAGCGTTCACACTCGTTCTGAAAGCACAAGCTCTATGAAACCTACCTACAGCCGTGGGCAATGGTCTAACTGGGTGGTGCTCCAGCTTCCTCGTCCACAGGCTTTCTGGAATTTCACTTTAAGCAAATTGCATGCAGCATGGTGTGTGAGTGCGGGTTAAAGCCTGTCTACGGCCTGTTTGATACGTACTAAATGAGACCTTCAGGAGAAAATCGGACGTCCAGTCCTGGTGGTTTAAGTGTGTGTGTGCACGGATGTGCGGCAAACCCTGAATAGTGGTGCAACTATCAAAGTCTTCAGGAGAAAATCGGCCGTCCGGTACTGGTGATTTGAGTGTGTTTGTGAACGCTTGTGTGGCAAATCCTGATGATGGTGCAACCATCTAAGTTTCAATTTGTTCCCACCGCACACAGCACCCCCATCATTATTTCAATCACAGCTGTTGTTTTCCAACCGCACTGTAGCCATTATTGCCGCATGATATGACTCACGTCCACGACTCTTGTCATGACATGACTCATGTCACTCGGCCCGTTTAGTAATTTCACCGAGTTTGACCCATTTGCTGCACAAAGCGGCATTGGAACACTGGACACATTGCATGTACACAGTGTGCAAATTGCATCCTCGTGCACCCAGAAAATCTGAACAGCGGTGCTGTGGACCAGAAACTTTTTACCAATCATGTTCAAACAGGGCTCTGCGAGTATCCGAGGCACCCTTAGCAAAAGAAAACTAGCAAAACATCAGTATAAGCTAAAGGAATGACACACTGTCTACGACTTTGCACTTAGAACGGCAGAGCTCGCTCCCCCTCTTTCTCCACTGCGAGAATGCATGAAACCTGCCATGAAACTGGCAGGCATCAAAGCAAACCAGTTCAAATATAACACCAAGGGGATCCACGCTTCAGTCTCCTCAGCAATTGAGTGACGATCACTGAAGACAGGCACAGCGGGGCTGTGAGTAAACTTTGGTTGACACTAAAAAATCTAAATTTCTTGATGCTATTCGGCACTATCCAGAAATACACTTCGTCTTTCTGGAGCCTAAAATCTACAGCGCCGCAGAAAGGAAAAATAATGTGGTACCCTTCCCCACCGAACCTCTACCAGGCCTGGGATCAGAAGAGTTTGGCCCGGTGCTTGTCGACAAGAACAATGAACAGTGCAGGGGCCGTTGGAGTGGTGGTTTAAAACCTGCAGAGGAGAACTGGACAACGGACCACATCTGGTTTGTCGGGCAGGCTGCCCCGCCCACATGTCCGGATATCAATCTGGACAACACAGCCCCTGCCAGACGACCGGCATGGTAACATAGCCTTTACTTCAGACAGGCCTTCGATGATTCAGAATCGCAACAGAAGACACCAGACAGTCCAGACGGCTGTCTGGATGTCGGGCTTCCGCAGCTGGCCATCAGTGAACAATGTGGAGGCGGGGGGGTAGGAAATGATGAGACAGAGAGGGCTAGAGAGGGCTGTGAACACCTGGCCGGTGCTTCAGTACAAATACGTCCCGGCAATGATGGTTGTCACTAGCACTGCTTCCGCTTTCACAAAAACTTTCTACTTCAGGAACCCTTCAGTTTATCTGGGCCCCTTCCCCACTACACTAGTACATCCATAACAAAGAACATTTCCACAAACCTGACTGAATACGGTGATGGACACATTCTGCTTCGGACTCTTCCTCTTACTACAATACACCCATCTGTGAAGAGCAAGCAAACAGACAAACTGAAAAAGTGGACATGCGACATCCACTGTAGCGTACTTAAAAAAAAAACTAAATAAACTACTAACAAGGCAACTACAGATTGCATCTAGGCTCTCACAAACCCTCTGATTGGCCAAACTGGAGATTCCAAAAGCGAGCTCACCCAGCTTGGGCATCAACAAAGAAGTTTAAGGAGCCTACAACTTCACAACCACTGCCTCCATGCAGTGCCCAATCCAGTACACCGTTCCCGTCATCTTAGGGATTTGGCTAGTGTGTGGCTAGCATGCCACACGCATTCAAGCATTCATGATAATTCAACAAGGTGCTCATTCTGCCAAAAAAAAAATGAAAAGAATAGGATAAAATCATCCTTCACCCGCATTTCTTTTGCGCAGA